CTGTCTACCAATGGAAGGATCATGAACCTAGTAGTTGTTCAGTCCATGAGGCTGGCTGTCTCAGCTGATCATCAGCACACACCAGAATCCCAAAGATGTAGGCTCTAATGCCAGTGAAGGAATCAACTTGCTAGCAAGAGTGAGAGCAAGCAGATAGAGAGAAAGCTTCCTTCTTCTGTGTCCTTATACAGGCTGCTGGCAGAAGGTGTGGCCCAGATTAAAGGTGGATCTTTCCACCTCAAAAGATCTGAATTAAAGGTGGATCTTCCCACCTCAAAGATCCAGATTGGAAGTGGGTCTTTCTACTTCAAAGGCAAAAGATTTAAAAAAAAAAAAAAATCCCTCACAGGTGTGCCCAGTTATTTGGGTTTTAGTTAATTCCAGACATACATAGTTAAGTTCACAACCATGAATAGTCATCACATTTTCCCTCTTATTTTCGTGTGTGTGTGTGTGTGTGTGTGTGTGTGTGTGTGTGTGTGAATGAACATCTTCTTCAATTGTTCCCCGCCTTAGTTTTTGAGGCAGGGTCTCTCACCAAGCCTGGAGCTCATTGTCTTACCTCGACTGGCTAGTCAGCGAGCCTCAGGGAGCCTCCTGTCTCCCCTCCCCCCCACCCCAGCACTGGGATTGCAGATGTGTGCTGCTGGGCTCAGCTTTATTACTAGGTTCTAGGGGCAGTGCTCAGGTTCCTACAGCTGCGTGTCAAGCAGCTTACTGTGTCACCTTCTTACCCCCCTTTCTTAAGAATTTTAAGAGGTTTTTGTTTGTTTTAATATAATGCTTTTGATGCTCTGCATAAGTTGCCTCCTCCTTCCAGATCCCTCCTCAGCTTCCCTCCCAGGTCCCAGGTCCTCTCCCAGGTCCCCTCCCAGGTCATGAGGTACTTAGATCTGGGAGGAAGGCTACTACTTGAAGCCACCTTTCTGGTTGCACCATGAATGGCCAAGCAGGTGCCATTCAGGACGTGTCCAGGAACCTTTCCAGAAAAGAGAACAAAAGAGGAGAATTTTCTCATCTTCTCCCTTCTTCTGTACACACTCTAGATGAGGGCCTCAGATCAAGTCTTCAACTGAAACAATGGATGCAACTTGAAGAAAAGCCCTGGACTCCTGAAGAGACTTGCAAAGTAGTCATTGGCACAGTCCATGTGACTAAGATTCTGTTTGATGGAGGGACCTGTCCCTCTAAAACAAGCCATGGGGCGTGGGGGTGGGGCACTCCACAGAATCTCAAGGAGCTGTTGCATAGTTTGCATGAGCCAGCCATGTCCCAACAGCATGGGGCAAGACAAGAAAGAGACCTAGAGGAACTCCCAAAGTGATTCAGTCCCAGGAATGAGCTGCTTCTGCCCGCGATGGCAGATTTCAAAGGTTTCTACAGAGCTACCCATTTGTGGACAATTTCGATGAAAGTACAAATTCAAGGAACTCTATCATGTGGAGCGATCTGCTGATGGACACATTTTAATCACTTAGCAGATCACTTCCTTTGTGTTGAGCGTGCCCATAAGTGCATTCCCACCAACCCACAGCGGTCATTTTTCGACCACATTCTTAGTTGCTTGACTCAGAACTCTCATGTACCAATGATTAGATCACCCTCCCTGAGCAGACACATCCTGCCCCTCCTCCTCTCTCTTGTCACCCTGCATCCCCTGTGCCTCATACTCAGACTGTGGGTCATATCATACACTCAGAGGCCAGCAAGTGTTGAAAAGCAGGGACTATGTGAGACAGAGAAATCTCCACTACTCTCTCACGATTGGCTGCCCCACAAATACTTCTTTCAAAGAGTTTCGTTCCTCTGAGCAAGCATTTGCTGACTCACCCAGGGAGCTCACCACTTCCAGGAAGTTGGGTTGGCAACAGGCGCTGGCTGAAGAGCCAAGACAATTGTTTTCCCATTATTCCATTACCAGCTGGCAGGCAGGATGCATGACCCCAGCGGGAGCTGCTCCTTCCACAGGAAGTCGTGGGGACCACCGGGGGACAGCCCAGTTCTCTTACCACCTGGACATCTCCACGGATTTCAAATGTTGCCTGGTCCCGACTCAGGAGTCTTTCCTTAGAATCCCCTCGGCCCTCTGCCTGCTGCATCTCTGAAAGGTTGTCTCTGTGCTGGACCCAAACCATCCTCAGATGCAAATAAACCACTGTCAGAGACGAGTTTGCTTATCGAAGCTACTAAGGCAAAGTCTAGTTAGAATTTTCAAATCCTTCAGAGTCTTTCTTGAGGACTGAGTTTAATAAAATTCCCCAGCAAATGGTGGCCAGTTCCTGAGAGGAGGGGAGGAACGGTGGCTTTAATTCTGCAAGCCTTGATTTCCATATTGATCGTAACATCATATATTTCTGTTATTACTTCATGATGGAAGAGAAACGCAGACTGTGTCAAATTCATTCGTCAGCATTAAAAGAATTTCTACAATAGTAAGTGCAACAGGAAACCAAATTTTGATGTTCTGCCTTGTGCTGAGACAGCGGGTCCAGAGGAAGTGGTCTGGTCCCCACATCAGACCCCATATGCCTACCTAGTTTCCCTCCCTGGGACCTTAGTGAAGAACTGTCCTTGAAAACACTCTTCGGTGCCTTTTAGTCTACGGTTGACTCTCCCTTCTCTGAGACTTTGAAATCTCAGCAGCAGATTTGCATTGAAGGTGAGTGTTTTATGACCTCTTGAAAACTGTGGTTCTGTCTAGCATTCTTTCTTTAAAATGTTAGCTAACACAGACTCACCTCCTTAAGCATCATCAAACAGTCTGGAAACAGCTGGGCCCCGATTTGAATGTATGGGAAAAAGCTTTGGAACTGCTCTGCAGATACTAAAGAAAAGTAAGGACAGATGTCTCAGGATCTTCATACAAGAAAGACTGTCCTTAACTATCATAGATTTGACTTAAAATGTGTATTTTTCAAAAAGCGATTAAGCGGTACATAGGAATTCACTGGGACACCTGAAGAGGCCCTAACAGTACAAAAAAAAAAAAAAAAAAAAAAGCAAGCATCACTTTGCTGAGCTGCTTTGAAATGGTTCCCAAAGTCAGAGGAACATAGAGGGCATGAGTGAGTTTACAAGAAGCCCGGAGCTTGGGAAGTGGATACAGAACAATCAGGAGTTCAAGGCCAGCCTCTGCTACATAGAGAGTTCAGAATTAGCCTGGACTGTACGAAACTGTACTCAAAAAACTAAAACTAAAATCAACTCCAAACTTGACTTTTCCAAACATTTTGCATTTATTTACTTATTAGTTCACATTGTTTTTGTGTGGAGGCATGCACATGCCATGGTGCACAAGAGGAGGTCCAGAGGACAATCTGTGAGAGTTAGCTCTCCCTTCTACTCTGTGGGTCCCAGGGGTCAAAATCAGCTTGTCAGGCCCAGGGAAAACCTCTACCTAAGAAGTCACCTCCCTAGCCCCCAACCAAACTGTATAATGAAACTTCCTGCCTACAGGACTGACCAGCCACAGCAAAGCCAAGCATTCAATGGCCTTTTAAAGCATCTCACTGCCAAGCTCTCTCAACCAACTCATGGCCCATGTATTCCTCCTCCCACCTCTGTGCATGCCAGGAAACACTCATGGTGTATTTGCTTTGGGCCAGACATCCTTCCACACACTCCACTCACATCCACTTTGTTTCCATAGCAACAGCATGAAGAAGGCACTATATTTACTTGCATCTGGCAATTAAGGAAACTGAGGCAATGCTAAACAACCTACTGTGCCAGGTCTTCATTGTATTCTCCCTTTCACCTCCAAATCCACCCTTTTTTGTCTGCTCAGTTAAAATGGAGTTTGTATAGTCTCCCTTAGGATGCTGGGAAATGCTAAACTTTGTCAGTAGGGGGCGCTGGAGAGATACAGCTCAGCAGGCTTCGGGACCAGGCCCAGTAAAGCATGCAGACCCCGCCCCCCACTCCCCGACCACTGCTCTAGCAGAGGGGCTCAACCTTGCACATTTCCAGGGCAGGATTCTGGCAAGCCTAAGAGGGTGGATTTTCAGCAAGTTCTACAGGTGTGGCAGTACACAAATTTTTCTGTCATCTGTGGAGCTACACCTGAACCCTTCCAGAGCAGCTCCTTGATTTCTGTGGCTACTTGGGCTCTTCAGAGCTGCCTCCACTTCTTACTAGACAGTGCTCTATATGGTTAATAATTCAGTCTAAACATTCCAGATCACTGTGGTTTCTCTCCTGGTTAGGAGATGCTGACTGGCTGGCATCTCTGCCCAAGGCCACAGACCAGGAAGAGCAGTGACACACAGCCTCTGTTCCCAGTGGTTCTGTCATGTTGCTTCCTCTGAGCAGGGCAGGCATGAAGCAGATGGGAAGACTCTTGTCAATGGAGATGGCTTGCCCATGGCATGGGAAAGCACACCAAATTGAGGTGGATCCCCATAGCCCATGGTTTTTGTTGTTTGGTTGGTTGGGGTTTTTTTCTGTTTGTTTGTTTTAAGACTACTCTCTGTGTAGTCCTGGCTGTCCTGGACTTACACTGTAGACCAGTCTGGCTTTAAACTAAGAGATCTGCCTGCCTCTGCCACCCCAGTGCTGGGATTAAAGGAGTGTACCACCATTGCCCAGGTTATTTGCTTGTTATTTTAAATGCCAGTCTGCAATCCGGTGCCGGTGAGCCTGGGTCAGCCAAGCCTATTCGGCTCGCTCCAGGCCAATGAGGTGTTTTTGTTTGTTTGTTTTTTGTTTTTTAAATGTAGGGACTTGAACTCTGATACCTAAGCTTGTCCTTTGGCCTCCTCAAATAAACACACACGTACCCACACACACTGCACCTGAACATGTGAACATGCATGTTTGTATATACCGGGCAGTCATTCCTGGGTCTCTTGCACCAGCTCCCAAGAGGCAGCATTCCTTGCCCTGAATCCAGAAGCACAGGGACTTTTATGGGCCAGAGGTAGAGGAGAAGGAGGCACGGTGTCACCCTAGTGTTATGGCAGGTGTCATCACACTGAGCAGAACACATGGCAGAGAAATACTTGAATTGCAAATAAATGTATTTATTTCCATTTTTGTTGCAAAAACTAATTTGTTCTTAACTCCACAAATACATATTTATGAAGAATACTTGAAAGAAAAAATAAGAGTGGGTATCACTAGGTCATTTGATTAAGATAACTTCTGGTGTGTGTGTGTGTGTGTGTGTGTGTGTGTGTGTGTGTGTGTGTGCACTGAAAACACTGACATCCTCACCCAGCCATTCTCAAGCTTCCACTGAAACAAGCTCTTTGGTGACTGACGAAGGTGGGCACTGTGGGGTGGGGTGGGAGAGAGGCAGAGGGCTCTCCAGTTTGTCTGTACTTGGCTGCCTCTTCGTCTGTCCATTTCAAAGTCAGCCTCTGCTACTCCACGATGTGTATGCTAAGCAGACTTTGACACAGACTTTGGATTTCAGAACTGGCAGCCATTGGGATTGGGAATTAAAATATGATAGTTTTGCTCCTCAAAAATTTGAAAAAACAAAAAAACCCCAAAAAACCCAAACATGCTCCCCTCCTGAAAAAAAAAATAACCCAACATCTAAGCACACTTGAATATATAAAAATTTCCTTCTTGGTTGGAAATGATATACTTCAGAAGCAATGAGTAAAATTCACAAGCCAAAAAAAAAAAAAAAAAAAGACTAAGTCTAGTAGGTTCCAAGGGATAGAAGTCCCAGCAACAGACTGCTGACCTGCTGACCTATTGACTCCAGAACTGTTGCTTTTGTTTGTTTGGGTCATTTAGAAAGTAAAAAAAAAAAAAAAAAAAAAATTCAAAAGTAAAGTAAATGTATCTTTCACGTGCGAAGATAGTGTTAAGTTTAATGGTTCATCCAGCGTCGGAAGTCTTCCCAGATCCAGGTGGTGGCTAGCAGGGCCACCTGGGATCAGACTGCATTCCTCTGAAGGAGCTGGTCCAGTAATTGCTGGAGGGGCCAGGGAAACAAAGATGTCAAGTTCCCATCTCTCTGTGCACCACCCACATCACACCCGCACCCCAGGCAGCTACCTTTTTGAAGACTTCTGCTCGGAGTCTGTTACTCTGTAAGATCACTCTTTTCTTTTGCTCTTCTTTTTTCTTTTTAACTTCCGGCAAGTTATTATAGATTCTGAGACAGACAGAAGACATGATGAGGAACAAGACAGCAGGTGCTGGGCTGGGGGTGGGGGGCAGCCTGGCTCGTCAGCAGGAAGGAACCCACAGGTAGGGTCTTCACATGGTGAGGTGCCGTCTGAAGAACTCTCCTCCCCTCAGAACACAGAGACACCACGGAAGAGTGTGAGAGCCAGAGGGGATGGAGGACACCAGGAGGACAAGGCCCTCTGAATGAACCGAGCAAAGCTCATAGGAACTCACAGAAACTGAAGCAGCAAGCAGCTTGCAGAAGCCTGCACCAGGTCCTCTGAATATATGTTATAGCTGTCAGTTCAGTATTTTTATGGGATTCCTGACTGTATGAGTGAGTGAGTTTCTGATTCTAGTGCCTTCCCTTGGGGCCCTTTTACTTCTATTGGTTTGCCTTGTCCAACACTTCAATGTGATGGCTTTGTTTTTTCTTATCATATTTTGGTTTGTTAAAAAAAGAATAAAAGATCAAAAAAATAAAAAGATACAAATACATTTATTATATTAAATATAGTCAAATATAATTTAATTATAAATATAAATAATTATAAATATATTAAATATTTATTATATATATTAAATCCATAGTGGGCCCTAAAAAAAAAAGAACTTCTATGAGGTCCCAGGACATAGACACTCTGGGGACAGTGTCTCAATGATACTTCCTGGGCAGTGTAGCTGCAGAGGCCAGGTATTTATGTGGAAGTCACTTCTCATGCTGTATTTGCAGTGATAATGATTCACTTGTAAAAGGAGGGATATTTAACGTACTGGTTTGCTATTCTGAGTGTCAACATTCCCTGCATATCCCCACTTTGTGGCCATCTAATTTTTGACTTACTGTGATTAGATGAGGAACAACAGATACATGACAGTAGCAAGAATCATATACTGGGAAAAAAAACATTAAAAAAAGTTTGTTTCCTCTTAGCCTGTGGTGTCTGATTAAGCTGATTCTAAACACATTCCAGACTCAAATATTTTGTCCTTGTCCCCATGTAAATCATCAACATCTGAGTTACCAGCAGGGCCTCAGGGGCCCTTGTCTGGAAGATTGCTCCCTCCCCAACACAAACTGTTCAGCTCCTTACTGATGCCACCTGATGTTTCTCCAATGGACTCACTGCAACCTGAGCTTGTAGATTACCATGCTATACAAGGCCCCCAACTCAAACATCTCTTTCTCATTTTCTCCTATGTATGAAAGTCAGATGAAACAGAGCTAAGCTGTTCTGAACTTAGAAGCATGAGTGCAAAGTATAAAAGGACGATGACAGTATCGGCAGGTGACATCTGGCTACTCAGCATCAGGCTAGTCACCAGACATGACTAAACACATGCAGCCCTCACAATAGCGGGAAGAGGTCCGTACGGTCCCGCTGTCATACAACAAGGAAGGTGAGTCCCTCCAAGATCAAGAGGTTTGGGTACAGCCCCTCAGCTGGCTAATGGTGGGCTGGCATTGGGATCTCAAGCTGAATGCTTCTTACTCACTGTAAACCATGTGCCCCAACTATGTAGCACAGGGCTACTCACCAAGTCCTGCAGGGGCCTGTGCTTTGGTGGTACCTGTCACGTCATGAGTATTAGTGAGGGTTGAGTAAACATGTGAATAAAGGAATATACCTTTGCTGCATTTGGGAGGGATTGGAACTAGGAGCAGGAGAAAAGATCACAGGGAGCTGATCCCAAAGCCCTCAAGAGGGCAGTTCCTCAATCCAGAGACCGCCTCTCCTTGAGCCGCCCATCCAACTCAACTGGGAAGTGGAAACAAAGCTTCTGTGTCCCACCTCTGGCCCTGCACTATTTCCTCAAGTGAGATCCTCTGATTTTTAATAGTATGCCCACACAAAATACACTGCGCAGACAGCCAAAACCCCGGGGGGATTGAAGTCTGTATCTTGCGAAAGCTCACAGATGATACCAGGAAATGGTAAGCTATAGAAGGAAAGGCAAACACAGTACAACACCATGTATAGTTAAAGAACACGTGTCTGCTTAAAGGTACAAACGGGAGGCTTTGAAGGGAAAGAGAAAGGAGACAGACTGTAGGCATCCTAGCAGATAGAGAGGTCTGGGACTGAGCAGAGAGGCCTGGGACTGAGCAGAGAGGCCTGGGATTGAGCAGAGAGGCCTGGGACTGAGCAGAGAGGCCTGGGACTGAGCGTAGGGCAGCTGGCTAAACGGTCTTGAGGGAACTTCAGCTTTACTCTCCTGCTTGAGTTAAATGAAAATATAACCGACATAATACACAACAAGGAACAGGAAGAAAAAGCAGTTTCAAGTGACTGTGGGGAGCCGGGGTCAGAGCCCAGCCTGGCACATTCCACCTAGCAAAGAGATCTAATTGCTTGGTCCTTCTAGAACCAGTCAAGGGCCACTAAAGGCTGTAGGTACAACATCATCTAGCTTACTGGTCCTTCTCAAATGTCAGTTTCTTCCTCAGAGACATGTCAGGACAGAACTCTGTCTACCAATGCTGCTTGGAAGTCCATTATTTAAATTGCTTGGTAGGCAAGGGTTTGTAATAGCAGTTTTAGGTTTGGGGACCAATAAGGAAAGTTTTTTCTTTTTCTTTTTTCTTTTGTTCTCTTTTTTCACTAAATTGAAGAGAATGCTTTTGTTGCAAGGTATATACAACTTTTCATTTATGAAACAGCAAGTCTTCAAATGGAGGGATCCTTTGTAAGCTCCAGTTAGAATGCTAGGAGTCATATCATTAATATATGCCCCCAATTCTTATTTTCTTACTTTCAAAGAGGTTCCCTGTAGGTAACCAAAGTTACTTAATTATCATGGAAACAACATAATCACGATAAAAGCAGAAATTTAGGGTCTGGAGTGGGGGCAAAATTATTCTTCCTATTTTGGTGGTGTCTCTGAGTGCACTATCAATTTGATTTAATTACTATAATCTCTCCTAGGGCTAGGCACTTTATTACAGCTTAATGACATTTTATGTGTGTGAACATGGCCAACCCTGCTGAGCTTTTGTGTCCTGGTTAAGAGGCCAGGTCCCAAAAAGAATAGTAGCCTTTGTGTGCCCCAGGGTGGTAAGAGTTAGTGGGAGTCTTGGATAGTGACTAGCCAGGCAGAGCAAGGAGTACCTTGGTGGCTCCTGCCAAGACTGACAGAGACAGACATGCCAGAAAAGCTGGTTTGTGGCCCCTCCGAGGCCCCTCTGGCTCCCATGCTCTGCTGGCTTCCAGTTTGGAAGCTTTTCCTCAGGACCGTCTCAGTCAAGGCCCTCCAGAGAAGCGGGTTCTCTCCTCCTCATAAAATTACTTTCAAAGGTGCAGCCGCACATGGCTCCTGCCCAGAGCTACAAGGTAAATGCGTCGAAAGAGTTCCAGTTCAGAATCTGCTGATCACTCAGGGACCAATTATGGGCCCACTGCCGAATCCAAGACCCACCACTTTCCTGAGGTTGATCCAAGAGCAGCATAAACATTCCGACGTACAGCTCAGCAACTTTGCTCACCTCAGCCAGGTTTTCAGATCGGCAGCCAAGACCTCAGCCCTTAAATGTGGGTCTGGAAGCCGTGGCCCAAGGGACAGCGTCTGTGCCCTTCAAGCCTCCCTCCCCAGCTCTTTCCATACCTCCCACAGCAGCCAAGTACCTTTTAGATCTCATATGCATCTCCTTCTCTGAAATGCATCTTTCTTTGGGTTTGAACAAGTTATCTGGAAGAAATAGAAAGGGGGTTAATTCCAGGAGATACAGAATAGTACAATGTATGGAGTCACCCTGAGGTAGGTCCAGAATATTCTCCTGAGTGTTCTCTCCTCCAAGCCATAGCCTGTAACAAACACTGTAGGTTTCCAACTGACCAGACAACAGCTGGTCTCAGCATGTGTTAAACAGGGCAGAAGCAAAATGTCAGCATGTTTGCGTTGTCAACTTGACACGCTTGAATCACTGAGGAAGAGAGTCTTCATGAGGAAGGCTCTAGATCAGGCTGGTCTGTGGACATATCTGTGAGAGGCTGTCTTGATTGTTAATTGAAGTAGGAAGGCCCACACTGAAGGTGGCTGGTACCATTTCATGGCTGGGCCCTGCACATGTTAAGAGCACTGGCTGTTCTTGCAGAGGACTCATATTCAGCTCCCGGAACTCCAGAGTGGCTCACAACAGTTTGTAACTCCAGTTTCAAGGGATCTGACACTTTCTTCTGGCCTCCATGGTCACTAGGCATGCATGCAATGTACATATGCAGATAAACACTCATATGTATAAAATAAAAATAAATCTTTAAAAAACAGAAAAAGCTAGCTAAGAGCCACATTCACAAGCAGGCAAGGATCCCTGAACTTATTCTCTGTCTGCTCTTGACTTTACCTTCTCCCCAACAAAGGACTGAAACTTGGAATTATAAGCCTAATAAGCCCTTTCCTCCCTTACTTGGCTTTTTGACAGGAATTTTTTTTTGTCATAGCACCTGAACTATTACACAGACAGCTACCCCACCAAACACTTTTAAAAAAATATTTATTTATTTATTTATTTATTTATTTATTTATTTATTTATTTATTTATTTATTTATTTATAGCAAAAACCATGTCATGTCTTGGTGGGGAAGTGAACAGTGCCAGGCTATCTGTTCAAAGGAAAATCCCTGCACTAGGTTTCTGAGGTTTCTAAGGACAGGCAAACCTCCCAATCATCCCCATTCTGAGAGCAGAAGGTCTGGCTCCTGCCTGCAGTCCTACATCAAGGAGACTTGGAAACTGCCTCTGCAATAAGCAGGCCCCTCCTTTTTTTTTATTAAGAGATTTTTCTATTCATTCTACATATCAACCACAGATTCCCCTGTCCTCCCTCTTCCCACCTCCCAACCTCTCCCCCCCCCCAACCCATCCCCTATTCCCACCTCCTCCAAGGCAAGGTCTCCCATGGGGAGTCAGCAGAGTCAGTTTAGGCAGGTCCAAGCCCCTCCTCCCTAAGCAGGCCCTCTTAATCTCACTGTAAGGCCTGGAAAAGTCATGGGACAAGATCAAAGTCACATATACTAGTGTCCTTGGACTAAAAAGGTACACTGGAGTAGACAAAGATCATGAGATTGAATCTCTTTTTTTAATTTAAGTGCATGTAATGGTTAGCTTCAATTGTCAACTTGACAAAACTTAATATCACCTGGAAAATAGATCCTCAGTGAGGGACTGTTTACATTGGGCTGCCCTTTGGGCTTATCAGTGGTAGGCTGTGTTAACTATGTTAACTGATGTGGTAACACCCAGCCCACTGTGGGTGACACCATTCCCTAAGCAGGGGGTTCTGAATTGTAGGGGAGTAGAGAAATGGAGCTGAGCATAGACAAGCAAGCAAATAGACATACATGCGTTCATTTCTCTGTGCTCTTGGCTGTGACTATGAAATGAGCCACTGTCTGAAGTTCCTGTTTTGATTTTTCCCATAGTGACGAACTGTAAGGTGAAATAAACCACCTTTTCCCTTAGGTTGCTTTTTGTCAGGGTATTGTATCACAGCAATAGAAATGCAAGTCAAACAATGCATATATATATATATATATATTACACATACGTACATACATACATGTATAATCTCTTTCAAATGGGATATTTAAAAAATAGTTTATACTGTTTACTATACCTAAAAAGGCCCTTTTGCAGTGACTTTGGAATGCCCACGTGACTCTCAGTCTTAGTTTAGCCAAGGATCTGGTCCGATTAGTTCTCCTAGGGTGCTTGCCACAAGGGAGAATCTCTGAGCAGCTGTCATCCTTTCTGGAAAGTCTAGACAAGCAGCTGACTGCCTTCACTCAGCATAAGCATACAGGTTTCCTCAAAGGTACAGGGAGACAGTACTACTAAAGAATGTCCTCCCCTCTGGACAATAAAACAGTCACCGAGGCATAGTATGAAAAATGCCTCTGTGGACAAGCTTACACCCTGTCCCACCAGCCACTAAAGAAAAGAATATGGCATTCTTACGAACTTCAAAGACAAGAGTCCAGGGGGAAACAGAAGAGAGAGAGACACCAGCATTTCCAGTTAAGGGGGAAAGTCCCCACTGTTGAGAAAGGGGGAGGCTGTGAGAGGAGAGAAGACATCTCCACAGGATGCAATGAGCCCCAGCTTCTCCTGGTGCCCCACCCGAGCCTCCACCCCAGACGGGGCTCCTGGAATTTCCCAGAATGAATGGAGTACCAGTTAAGTCTGTCTGGATCTTGGGCAAGCAAATGTGTGCATATTTGGAGACTTCCCTCAGAGAGGGAGAGGAAGCCTTAACACAAAGTCTCAGTCCCAGTTTTGGATTAGCATTCTTTAGGAGCTACTGGAGGCCAGGGTGGAGCCAGTATAGACAGATGCACTGTATCCTGGGGGCGGGGGGGGGAGAATGCAACTTTTCATAATCCCCAATCGACTGTATGTGGTCTATTCTGGAAATCAGGTGTTCATTTTCTCCCCGGTCTGTTTCTTCAGAGCACCTGACACCACAATTAAACATTGGTTCTATTTCCGGAGGAAACCTGAGCTACCCGACACTTCCATAGCTTGCTTTCTGGACTGAAGCTTGCTGTGTGAGAGCAGGAGGTCAAATCCTGGACCCAGCAGCTCTTGATGGGTACAAAACAAGCAGGTTTGTATCCAAGAAGGCTCAAGGCCACTCTGGGGGAGGTGGTTGCTATGGATTTTGAATTTGCTTAATATCACCAAGCACTTCTGATAAGTAGGATAAATGATGGGGACCTCCTGGCCAGGAGAAAAGGGAGAGGCAGAAGGCAGAGGGTACGCCACCCAAGAGGGTGTGAATAAGATGCAGATGTGTTCTGAGTGGCTCCATCGTCACTGGAGTAGAAGACTCCACCTACCTGGAACAGCGTTTCAGTTTCGCTACTGTTGCTGTCATAAAATGTCCTGACAAAACAAAACAAAACAAAACAAACAAAACAAAACAAAACAAAACCCTAGAGGAGAAGGGGTTTATTTGGCTTACAATTCCAGGTTATAGTCCATCATTTCAGGGAAGTCAAGGCAAGAACCTGAGGCAGCTAGTCATATCCACAGAGAAAGAATAAAGGCATGATCGCTTACTGCTCACCTGGATTTCTCTACTCTTACAGACTCCAGGGCCCTAAACCCAGGGATGGTATCACCCACTTTCAGGTTGGGTTTTTTCACATCAATTAAGATGATTAAGACAATGCTACATACACACACCATGAACACTTTTTCCCCACAACACTCACACACCACACATATCACACACACACCACACACATCACACACACACACCACATACATACACACACACCACATCCATATACACACCACACACACACACCACATACATACCATACACACACATACATATACACACCACACACACACACACACCACATACATACCATACACACACATACATATACACACCACACACACACACCACACACACATACATAACACACACACACACACACACACACACACACACACACACACACATACATACACACCCCAACTTAGTCTAGATCAATCTCTCACTGAGACTGTCTTCACTGGTGATTCTTGGTTGTAGTAAGTTGACCAAGTACCTCAAATGGCCTTTGACAGTTTGTGAGGGGAAGTGGCCAGGAAGAGGTAGGGACGTTGGGCATCTGAGTGGTCACAGTGATTCTGCCTGCACTTGTAGAAGCTTCCTTCCATGATTTTACTCTTCCTCACAACCCTGGACATGTTTGTGATATTCTGTATTTTAGGGCTGGTATCCATTAGTTTCCAAAGAGTAAATTTTACCTGCCAGGTTCACTGTAAATGAGTGAGAGGCAGGACTGAGTTTCAGCCCCCATTAGCCTGGTGCTATACACTTACACTTTTGACTGCCATACACTGCCACCAACTTGTGGCTACGGACTCTGCTTTCTGGGAACTACAAACAAGAGTTCTTCCATTTCTCATGAGATCAGTCCCAAATTCATTTTCCCACACACTCTTCCTTTTATAGCTTTTTACAGATACAGACAGTATGACTCATGGGGGAGTCATTTCATGGGGTATCTTAGGGTACATGTCCCCCATGGACTCATGAGTTTGAACATTTGGTAGCACTTTTAGAGGTCGGGCCTTGCTGGAGGAAATGGGATGCTAGGGGACTAGCCTTGAAGTTTCTATAGCCTGGCTGCACTTCCTGTTGGGTCTCTACCTCCTGACCCACCCAGATGAAAGCAAACCACCTCACATTCTTACCTTACCACAGCTGTTAGCTGCTTCTGTGGACATGCCTTCCCCAACCATGATGGCCTACACCCTCCAACTGAGGCCCGAAGACACCCCTCCTCCCTTCTGTTGATTCGTCAGCTGTTTAGTCCCGTGGTGAGAAGCCCATCCTGTACGCGTGTGCTTTGCCCAAAGACATGGTAAAATCCCAGCTGTCATTCCTGCTTTCAGAGATTCTGCTCTTACAAAACGAAGGCACTGGTGAGACTCATTTTCAGCCTCCTTCTGGATCATTTATGGATTTTCTTAGAGTCTCATATATTCTGACTGCTTTGGAGGAAAGAGATCACAATTATATTTACTCTCTTTTCACTCAAATAGAGGGGACTTTTCTTCAATAGGCAAGCTACATTTTGGAAAACACACATAGCACACATACCAAATACACATACTCACACACACACACATACACACACACACACCACATACACACACACACACATAC